ATGGAGGGACAGCGCAGGAGGGGAAGACCCTCTATGAGGTGGATTCAGTGACTGGGGTAATTGGGATGGGTGTGTCAGAGGCAGTGCGATTGGCACAGGGTAGAACAGGGTTTAGGGCTGTTGGACATAGGGTTGCTATGAGTCGCAAACAACTCGATGGCACATAACAACAACAACAGCGTACTGCCTAGTTTTAACTGTTTTTGGTCAAATGTTCTTCTAAGTGGTATAGCACTGGTCTGTTCATTTGCTATACAGAGGTAACTCATGGTTGCTGTGAAGATAAACACTTGTGACACTGATGTATGTCAAATGCATTAATGGTTACCCATGGTGGACAGTGTTTGGTGGAGCTCCCCAATTAAAACAAGCTTGGAAGCAGGAGTAGCATTCACTTCTGAAATAGCTTGCCTCTGGAAACTCTATGAACTTGGAGAAATGATGAAAGTTATACAAGTGTTCAGGTCTTTCCTTCATAGGGTCACTATGAGTCATCTATGACTTGACAGCACTTAACAACAACAAGACAGTTAATTCAGAGAAAGCATATATCTATAAAGTCAGGAGCAGAGAGCTGAGGGGGTCTTCCCTTTATCTGGATGGTGATGAGAGATGAGTTCCAAGAGGATGTAAGTCAGTAATAAAGGGTAAGTGGAAATTTACCAGGTGTGGGGTCCTTACTTTGAAAACTGGCTTTTCTATTCATTGTGTTAGCCTCGCTAGGGGCATGGTCTCCAGATTAATAAATTGTGAACAAATAGCCTTGCAAATCATCAACAGCTTTGGGGCCAATAAAAGGAGCTCTTTCCACACTGCAAGAAGATGGTGGTGGAGTAAGGATGAAGAGACTGGGGCACTGCTGTGAAAAGACTGAGGTACTGCTGTGAAGAGATTATGGCAGGTGTAACCAGACGAACCCTGGAGATGGCTGACTGACTGAAGGAAAAGCTGACTTGTAACTGCTCTGAGATTGTCCGTTGGACGATTGAGGAAATCAGAGGCTTCTTGCATTTGTGCTGCTGAATTGAAGCTAGACTTTTACTTGTTGACTGAGAAGCTGTCTGAAGTAATTGAGGAATTATGTTTTGATGTTAATCTGACTTGGGACTGCTGAACTAAACCTGGACTTACATTTTGTGATATTCTTTGCCTCTCCTACCCTCCAACCTATTTCCCTAATAATCTTCACAACTGTGAGTAAAGTCTGTGAGTTATTTTGCAATGAACATCAGACCCAATGATCATTAGAAATAAATGCAGGAGCCTGTGAGGTGGCATGTCTGACAATGTAGTTAACTGCTTGGTACTGGGGACATTATTGATGAGTACAGTTGCCCTTTATGAAGTGGACAGAAGTCATACTTGGCCTTCCTCATGCTGTAACTGCTCCTTTTACACCAGGTCAATAATGTGCTTCTGTTATATAAGACAAAATAGTATATACAAAGACATGAGAACAGAGCATCTTCAGGAAACTGCAAATTGTTCTGTAAGGTAGCTAAGGGGAAAAAACCTTAAGATAAAGAATACACTTAGATGGCCCAGCACAACTCAACTGCTTGCCTCAGAAACCATGTGCCTAAATCAACTAAATCCTGAAAATTCTAACATCAGATCTAGAAAGAAGAAAACTGAATGAGCATCTGTATCTTTCTCCCTACCACATCATATGAAATGGACAAGCTGAACTCTCTTTGATGAAACTAAATGCTCCTAGTGAATTTGGCTCCTGGAAACTCTGTGGGACATGAATCCTAATTCAGAATACCTAACAAAATTCCAGAAGATTGAGCCCAAATTATTTCTTAAATACTGTACAGGAAGCTCTGGTGGCCTAATGGCAAGAAGTTGCACTGCAATCGGGAAGGCACATGGTTCAAATCCACCAGATGCTCTACTGGAGAAGGAGGGGCAATCTCCTCTTGTGTCAGTTGGATTCAATTTAACGGTACACAGCAAGGAAAAAAAATACTGTACACAGTCCAGTTGAACTTTTATCCTTTCCCCACCCAGGTCCTAAGACTACAGAAGTACAGCTAGAATATTTAACACTCATTCCCTCAAACAGCACTTCTGAGGGGAAAATACAGTAGTCTTCAGCAGTAGTGGGAGGGGAGTCAAGAAATCAGTTATACCATATAAGAACAATTATAGTGTCTGGTTCAGAGAA